CTACTAAGTTAAATTCTTGTTACCAAGTGTTATGGTAACAAGAATAATCAAGATGACACAATGGGGGTAAAAGCTGGCCAATTCCGGATTTCCAGAGCTGTGGTAACATGCTGGATTGGTTGGATAGGCAATACTTGTCCAATGGAGCTCAAATTTGGATATGTTGTAGTTAACATCCATTGAAAAAAGTCTCATGAAGATCATGACCTCATCCGAGCACCAGAGCATGTTGATCCCAGGCCAAGAAGTTGACCTACGAAAATGAACAAAAACAGAATTTATAACCAATAATGCACTTTTAGCTCATTTTCATTCTAACCAAGGTAAAATCTAAGAAAACACAAAAAGGAAGTAAAAAGCTATAAAATGTCAAGAACTAACTCAAAATAGTGGGTGAATAACATGAAAAATCATGTGTAAAAATGAACCGAACACCGACCCAAGCGCTTGAGTGGACAGCGCGAATCCTTGGCATTTTAAGATAGTTTTTCTTAGGGTTTTGGGGAGTTTTATGTTTGTTATTCCTTGTATGATTGTACTAAAGTCCTATGGTCTATAAATAGGCACTTTAGCACTAGGTTTTGATAACGTGAGAATCAAAGGACATCAAATTGGGTTTGAACCAAGGGTGAGAGAAAAAAGAGCTAGGGTTTGTGAGAGAGGTAGGGGGTTCTTCATTGTAACCAAAGGGGTTCTTTCATTCTAGTGAATTTTTCGGGGATCACCGGAGAGGACGTAGGCACACCGCCGAACCTCTACAAATTCTTGTGTTTTTTGTGTGTGTTTACTTTTCGATTCATGTGTGCTTTATTTTTGCGAGGCTTGTGTGTGATAGTTGTGTAGTCCATCAATGACAAGGTCTTGGAGTGTTTATGCACAACATGTCTTGAATAGAACTTGGCCATGGTTGAGCTCAAGGTTCTCATAGCTCTCATAGTCTCCAACTTCTCCTTTTCACTTTCTCCCAATTATAACCATGGACCTACTCTTAGATTGGTTGTGGAGCCAGAGCATTGAGTCGATCTCCTAATGAGGAAGTTGTGAGCTGTTGTTCCCTTTGTATCATTTTCTGAAAAATAATAGATAGAGAGGTTATTTTTAGGTATTATTAACTTCTTGTGACAAATTGGTATTTTTAGTTTGTTCAACTTGTTTATGCATGTATTTTTTGCATTGCTTGTTCCAATTTGGCATGCTTAATTTGCAATCCTTGTAATTATCTATTGAAGTTGAATAATTCTTCTTTCTTTTCGGCATCTATTGCTATGTCACTTATATTAGAGAATAAAAAAACCTACAATACCCCTCAATTTCCTATCCTTGTGAACATTTCTAAGTTGCCTGCTTTGGGCATTACAATACCATTGAGTCAGAGGAATTGTAGATAATTTTATCAATAGTGGTGAGAGTATGACTGATAGGCTAGCATGTGGTCTAGCACAGTGCTGACTTTGAGATTAGGCTTATTATGTAGGCTAAATCTAGACCAATCAAAGAAATCAGCTTGCTATGGACAAGAAATCAGTTGGCTGCAAGAAGAAAGAACAGAGAGATGGAGCAGACAGAGAGAGAAGAAAGAAAAGAAGAAGAGATGAAGAAGAAAAAAGAATAAAGAAAGAGAGAGAGAAGAGGAAAAAAGAATAATAAAAAATGGGAGGGAGAGATTAAACAAACAGAGAGAGAGAGAGAAGAGGAAATATAATAAAAAAAGAGACAGAGGGAGATATGTGTTGTCATGAGATGTGTTTTTATTTTATCGGGTGCACTGCCCAACAAAAGGTGATGTTTTTTTTTTTTTTACTTCAATTCCTTCTAAATATTTGTTCTTTTTTTCTTTCTTTTTTGCCCTTTAATCCCTTCCAAATCTGTCAACCATATTATCAATAATTCCAAAAAAAATTATGTTTCAAATGTCGTATAATAACAAAAATTTCTAAATATGATGAAGAAAATATACTAAAAAAAGAGTGCTTATAAAAAAAAAATTATTTGTAACAAACAAGGGTAGTGGCGAAGCCTGAATTTCATGTGTGTGAGGGTCTCTCACAAAACATAAACAATAAAAACTTCAAACTCACAAGACATACCAAAACATCAAAAATCATATTATCTATTCATTACAATCATAATTGTCCTCTACGAGTTTTCATATTTTGAAATGGTTGCGTAACTACCTTATCATCTATATTATTAAAAATGTCTCTCTCAATACATACAACCAAGCAATCATTCATCCATAAATTGAAAGACCTATTAAAATCAATAGAACAAAAAAAAAAAATCAAATTTCACAAACTAAGAAAAACCATAGGTACAGAGAAAATAGTTATTAAAAAATAAGAGAACTATAAACCTTTTGGGAAAGGAAAGGAAAGTGGCGTAAGCCTCTTTCTTTTTTTCTTTTTTTTGGTTCTAAAAAAGTGGTGTAAGCTTGGAGGAAAGGAAAGCAAGATTTGGTTGGTGGGTAGGGCCCATGTGCTAAAATAAACACAGTAATTAATCTATATATATAGCAAAATGCAGAGAATGGTAAAACATTCAAAATACCATAAAATGCCACTGGTTAATGCAAGTATTAAGAATTGAAACTATTAATTAAATGAGGATAATATGGTAAATTCACACTTTTTTATATTTAAAAAATTAAAATCAAATAATGGATCCTATTTTTATGGAACACAACTACCCATTATTTTTTTTAATAAAAAAAAGCATCTCGCAAGCCAGAAGCGCGTGCGAAGATATTAGTATATATTAAAGCGCGTGCAAAAATGCTAATATAGATTATAGCAATACATAGTACATTTTAAAAGAAAAAATAAAGGTCAACTATCCCCACATGCCTCCGGCTCCTGAACAAGGGTTTATAATTTATCCCAAAAAAAAAGGGAGTTGATTTTCCCACTCCCATTTTCTCCACTTACACTCCCTTTTGTTTTAAAATATTTTTTAATCAATTTTATTTTTTTTAGTTTTTTCTCATTCCTATTATACCCTTACCTACATTAATTTATTTTTACTTCACTTTTATATTATTATTATCTTTTAAAACTTAATTTACTTACACCCCATTTTCAACGGATGGATGAGTTCTTTAAAATTATTATTTTAAAAACAAACAAAATATTTTCCCCAGCAACAGCCCCCTCTCTCTCCCCCTCTCTTCGTCAACCCCCTACTCCTCCTCCCATCTCAACCCAACCCCACACAGCCACCCACCCACCGATAGCCATCGCTGCCCCAACGCACCCATAACCACAAACGACCTTACAGCCCCAAACGCCCGATAGCCAAGCCACACTCAAACCCCAAAACTCTTTTTAAAAAAACCCCGGATCTAGATTTGGTGGTTGAAGAAAGAGGGGGAAAGAGAGGGATAGAAAAGGTATAAAGATCTTAGCTATAGCTACCAGTATATAGATGATTGATGTTATTGGATTTTGGTTATGTTTCTGGAGGAGAAGCTAACAAAAAGTGAGGAAGGAAATAAAAAAGGTCCTTCGAACCTTTGCCATTGGAGCTTCTGTGTTGGCTTTTTAGACCTTCACGAATCACAGGGCAATAAACAGTTGATTTGCTGGGCTTGGTTTTTTTGGTCGAAGAAAGAGGGGAAACAGAGATGGGGAGAGAGAAGACGGAAGGGTGGGTGTGTAGGAGAGAAGATAACCAGAGGGTGGGTGGGTTTGGGATATATTTTTTTCGGTTTAAAAAAATTCTTTTTAAGGAATTCTTTATTATTATTTTTCACACATCAGCATCTCTCCAAAGTGCTCACTTGCCACGTCATCAAGGATAAAATAGAAAAGAGGTAGAACAAAAAATAGCAAAATTAATTAAAAAGTATTAAAAAACAAAAGGGAGTGTAAGTGAAGAAAAAGGGAGTTGGAAAATCAGCTCCCAAAAAAAATTAGCCTATCTCTACAAATATTCCTGGTCCGCCATTGATGACTGATAATTTTATGTCATCATCACATGCAGTGGTGGATCCACATAGGGGGCAAGGGGGGTCAATTGACCCCCGCAAGCTCAGAATCCTCCATAGGAGCTGAAGAACTTGACCCCTGCAAATGCCCAAAATGTGTTTGATGAAATGCCCCAAAGAGAGGAGCAGCCATAGCCAGGAGCTACGCAGCGCGCGCAAGGCCAGAACTTTTTTTTTTTTTTTTGTTCCTGACATCAAAACGACGTCGTTCCACTTAAGTGGTTTTTTTTTTTTTTTTGGGTTTCTGTCGTCAAAACGACGTCGTTCCATTTAAGTGAATTTTTTTTTTTAAACCTGGCCAAAACGACGTCGTTTTGGCTCAGATTTAACGAAAAAAAAAATTAAAAAACTTGCAGCAGCCCAGCAGATCGATAAAACAGATTGGGGAATGGGTTTTTCACTCATTCCTCTCATTCAAACCCTAAATCCCCAACCCCAACCCCTAATTCTACTCAACTTTCACTCAATCTGAAGGCCTCTCCACGTGAATCATCCTCCGGCGCCGGCGTTCCCCTCATCAAGTGGTGGCAGCAAACCCCAAATTCAATTAGCTTTGAAATTTGCTCTCAAAATTGAAAGTATGTTATCCTATTTCATAATCTTTTTATGCTTTGATAAGATTGATTAATATGTATATGTTGATTAGTTTGAATGAATTAGAGTTTTTAATTAATTATATGTTAGTTTGTATGATTTAATTAGTTTGTATGTTTTAATATGATGGATTTTATCCCTCAAATTGAAATTATGTTATCCTATTTTGTAATCTTTTATTATGCTTTAATTGATTAATAAAGATTATTGTACATTTTTGTTGTTGTTGATTGTATTTGTTAGAAGTTTTTTATTATTTTGGTTAGTTAGAAAAAATCTTGGCAATTTAGATTATTAATTAGTTTCTATATTTTTTGCATATAAAGTTATGGAACGATACTTTAAGAGAAAGTTCTCATCAACTACTTCTAGTTCAGATAATGTGGGTAGTTCGAACTCAAGAGATGTGGGTATTTCAAGAGATATGGGTAGTTCAAAAGAAAGTGAGTTGCAAGATCTTATGAATAATCTTCCTGCAGATCCTGGACTTCGACCTCAAATGTTAGATTATGATCCTAACATTCGAGACGAAGTTCGAAGAGCATATCTACAAAAGGGTCCTTGTCAACCTAAGAATCACATATTTCCACAAATTGATCTTTCAGGGTATGATCGACGTTTTAATGTCAAGTGGTTTGATGAGTTTGGCTGGTTGGAGTACAGTATAAGTAAAGATGCTGCATTTTGCTTTTATTGTTATCTCTTCAAATCCAATTTCAAAATTGGTCAAGGGTGTAGCGATGCCTTCACAGAGATGGGTTTCAGAAATTGGAAGAAGAAAGAAAGAATTAGGAATCATATTGGAGGTGTTGGAAGTGTTCATAATCAATCTAGACAATATTGTATAGATCTTATGAATCAGAAGCAACACATCCAAACAGTTTTGGGCAAGCAATCAGACCAAGCTCGTATTGATTATCGTATTTGCTTGACAGCTTCTCTTGATTGTGTGAGATTTTTGTTGAAGCAAGGTCTTCCTTTTCGTGGCGATGATGAGAGTGACACTTCAAACAACAGGGGGAATTATTTGGAGCTCTTACAATTTCTTGCTGATCATGATGAGAAAGTTAAGGCGGTTGTGTTAGAAAATGCTCCAGGGAATCTCAAGCTAATAGCTCCAACAATTCAAAAAGATTTGGTGAATGCTTGTGCCACTGAAACTATTAAGAAAATCATTAAGGATATGGATGGTGCCTTCTTTTCTTTATTGGTTGATGAATCGCGTGATGTGTCAATAAAAGAACAAATGGCAGTGGTGTTTCGTTGTTGCCTTCTTTACTTGTTTATATTGAGAAAGATGTGTTTATTTGTATTGATAATGACTCTATAATGCAATGTTTTCAGAATATGAAAACCCGTCGTTGACAATTGTAATGTGGTTTTTTCTATTAATTAAGAATTATAATATTATTGTTTTATTTTATTTTTTTGTTCTATTTTGTATAGAATTTTTTAACCTTTTAGACGTTGACCCCTGCAAACAAAATTCCTAGATCCGCCACTGATCACATGGCTATTTTGTGTGAATCCCTTGGCTTCCTATCCCCATCTGACAACCTAGTGTTGTTTAAATTTCAACAGCCGCAGATTTTTTATGCAAAATATTAGTTAATAATGAAGCTTAAAGACATGTGAAAAGGACATAAGATATGTCCCTTACCAGAATTTGTCCAGCAAATTTGCAACAAGCGCGACAAGTCCAATTGTTGGTCATCTGAAATTTAGTCGCACCTTTGAGTATTGTATGAATAACGGTGAGAGTACGATTGGTAGAAGAAAAGGATGTTGCAGGGTGGTTTATTGTAGCACGGGGTTTGCCAATCTTGACCATTGTACTTAAATATAAAGCTAGAAACTATGTAAGTTGTTTGTAGCTCAAGCGGTTAAGAAAAGTTATCCTTACACCCGAATTTCTAAGTTTGACTCCCGTCTCTCAATATCGTTTGTATAAAAAAATTAATTAGCTAGAAACTATGCCGAACAGTAATTAGTATTGGTAGAAGAAAAGGATGTTGCAGGGTGGTTTATTGTAGCACGGGGTTTGCCAATCTTGACCATTGTACTAAAATATAAAGCTAGAAACTATGTAAGTTGTTTGTAGCTCAAGCGGTTAAGAAAAGTTATCCTTACACCCGAATTTCTAAGTTTGACTCCCGTCCCTCAATATCGTTTGTATAAAAAAATTAATTAGCTAGAAACTATGCCGAACAGTAATTAGTATTGCTAAGTTGTACTTCCCACATATATGCCATCAGATTTACACAACTCCAATTTTCCAAGACAATGACATTTTTTACATACAAGAAACACGAAGTTGGTCTACTTTCTATTTCCCCACATCGGTTGCCGATCACTATGAGTGAGGGTGCAGTAACGACTGAATTTCTAGGGTTTTTTTTTTTTTTTTTGGGGGAAGTCATGGTTTAAGTTGAATTTTTTTTGGCTGGATGATTTTGTTTTTGTTTTTGGAACAGTCCATATAATTAAAAAATATAAGATAGCAGATGACATGGGTTGTCATGCCATATGCCACATGTGTTGGTAAATAAGTTGTTACGCATAGCATTGTTGTTTTGGTATGTGTGTTGTAGGCCATTTTAAATTTTTTATATAAAAAAAATATTCACAAAAAAGTTAACTAAGGTTAACACTAGGATTTAAAACTGAAGTATGGCTGGCTGTGGTTGGTTGCTTTCTTGAGCGAGTGGCATATGCGGCCAGCAAATCAAAACAACTATGCACAGGTTTTGATGGACTGGCTGACGTAGTTTAGAGGACATGTAGAAAAGTCACTTGGCACAATTTCCCCTTGAAAAGATTTGTTTACTGATTAAAGTCCAACTAGTGCCAAAACAGAAACGCATATAATGTTAAGAAATTGAGAGGCGACACTAGAAGAAAAAATCCAAGGATAAAGACTGAAGATAACACCCGGCTTATGTCAGAAGAAAATGAAAGAGAGGACTATTCTTTGTGCATGCATGTACAGTAGTATTCAACAAAATTCTAACTAAATAAGAAATAATTAGGAAATAAATATCAAATTATAATATAACTATACATATATAAACGTGTAAGTAACTAAATAAAGACTCAGCAACATATGATTCTTAAGCTCTCTCTAGTTCTCGGGAATTCATTGAAAATGAAAATTATAACTTACTAAGGTACTCAAACAGTGGAATAATATATTTTTATTTATTTATTACCATCTGATCTTTATTGTACATTTTCATATGGACTCTTGGATTTTTGGTGAATACAGGAGAAAATGAAAGCCGACAGTGAGAAATACGAAAATAATTTGGAGAAGGCGGCGAAATTGAATGAGTGCGGCACTGTTATTTTTTGACTTTTCTTTTGTTCTGACGTGGTTGATAGAAAAAGAAAAAGGAGGTCGGAAGGAAAAAGATGAAATGAATGCACGTTTCTTCAATGAGTATGAGAGAGAACACTCAAAAAAATAATAAAGAAGATAACGTTCAATGCCATCTGCAAGAGGAGAATTTGCAGTAGTCAAACTTTTACTTCTCAAAGGAACACGTGGATAGCTCTAGAGGGCAACTTTGATCACAGTCGCCTTTCAGCTACTGTGAATAGTAAAACTCGTATATAAATATCCATGAAGAGTCTGCAAAATTTGAAAATCATCAACAACAAAAGCTGAACTCTCTCACTTTCAGAGGGTTTTTTTTTCCCTTCTTCCTTTCTTCCTTTCTAATGGAGCTTCTTCAAGTTGATGCGAAAATGTTGATGTCCCTTGTTCTGCTAGGGTTTATAGGATTGTTGGTGCGCTTGTACAATGGGCTTGTGTCGAAGCCGAAGAAGCTGAGGTCCCTGCTAACCAAGCAAGGCATTAGCGGACCCCCGGCTACTATTCTTCTGGGAAACATTATGGAGATAAAGAATTCTCGAGGCTCCAGCAATGTTTTCAAGGAGGGTGAAGCTCCCACCACGCATAATTGTGCTGCTCTGCTCTTTCCATTTTTTGAGAAGTGGAGGAAGCAATATGGTATATGCACATACCAATATTTATACATTTGGTTCCTCATCACATATATTGTTATTAATGTTCATTTTAATACTACGTATATGTTGTCTATTTATATCATTGTCTTGCAATAGTTTTGTTTATTATTTGTATCTTTTTAATATTTGCAAGAGCTCTTTGTGGGATTATGTTCTTGTATTGCACTTTCATTAATGAAATTGATGAATTGCTATTATTTTCAGTGAGTCTTGTAATTTACTTCTACTAAATAAATAAGTTACTTGCAGGTGAAGTGTTTGTGTTTGCACTTGGCAACACACAGATATTATATGCGAACCAACCAGACGCAGTGAGGGAGATTACAACATGCACGTCTTTAGACTTGGGAAAACCTACTTATCAATATAAAGAGCGCGGCCCTTTGCTTGGTCAAGGTATTTTGACCTCAAATGGCGCCTCATGGGCCCACCAACGCAAAGTCATTGCTCCTGAACTATACATGGAGAAAGTTAAGGTATGTATTTTGTATCGATATTGTGGATAGTATGTTTTAATATTGACATATTATGGATAATGATATTCACATCTTGATATCATATCGACAATCCGTTCTTGAATAAACAACGGATGTCATGTTTAGAGAAGATTTTATCTGTATATTACTATATAATTTATAGCAAATGGTGCCAAGAATTGTTGTGATTGCAACTATGGTAAATCTTGCAGGGAATGATCAACTTAATTACAGAGTCAACAACTACTCTGATAAATTCATGGAACAGTAGGATTGAGGCAGAGGGAGGAGTTGCCGACATAAAAATTGACAGCTACATAAGAAGTTTCTCTGGTGATGTAATCTCAAGAGCTTGTTTTGGAAGCAACTACTCCAAAGGGGAAGAGATATTTCAGAAACTAAGAAATCTCCAGGAGGCTATGTCCAAGAAAATCTTTTTGACTGGAGTTCCTGGAATGAGGTACTTTATACTCACAATTGGGGCTTAAGGTTTTCTTACATAAATTCACGACCAAACAGCTAAAATTGGAGAAAATTAGGGTAGAGACTTTGGCACTCTAATAGAGAAAGTGTATGCAATGCAAACAACTAATTTTTTTCTTTCTCATTTTCCACTTGAAAGTGAAATATATGGTCAATAAATGTGTTACATATAGCTCCCTACAATCTTATAGTTAATTGCTATAATATATTGTTGCAGACACCTTCCCACGAAGAGCAACAGGGAAGCTTGGGCATTAGAAAAGGAGGCTAGCACTTTGATCCTGCAAGTAGTGAAGGAAAGACAAGCAGCAGGATATGAGAAAGACCTCTTGCAAATGATTCTTGAGGGTGCTCGAAACACTGATCTCAGCCCAGAAGCAACAGACCGCTTCATTGTTGATAATTGCAAGAACATTTACTTGGCCGGCTATGAAACCACAGCGGTTTCAGCCACTTGGTGCCTCATGTTGTTGGCTTCAAATCAAAAATGGCAAGAACGTGTCAGGGCAGAGGTCCTTCAAATTTGCCAAGGCCAAATTCCTGATAACGAAATGGTTCGCAAGATGAAACAGGTATACATTTTTACACCATTGAAGAATTTAAGATATAAGAGTAACTATCCTTCTATATATTGTTGTGAATTGGCATCGTCATTAGGTGTCGGGAGGGAAAACATGACAGAAAACAAGAAGTGTCCGTCAAAAGACACCATTAAAACACTTCTCATCTTCCTTCATGTTTTCACTCTCGAACTTCATCACAACATCCAATGATGAGCCAATTCACAACAAATATGTGGAAGATTATGTGATTTATGTTAAAAACTCCGAGTCCAAATGTCATAAATCTGGACTAGTAATATTCTTTTGTCAAATATATCAAACTACGAATATAGAGCAACTTACAATCTAACAACATGATATATTTAGTTTGCCGAACAGTCTAACAATGGTAGAAAATATCAGTTAATTAACATAAAAACTTGACTATTGTTGAATGTGTGCAGCTAACAATGGTGATTCAAGAATCACTGCGGCTATATCCACCAGTTACTGTGGTGTCAAGGGAGGCTTTCAAGGACATGAAATTTGGGGACATAAATGTTCCAAAGGGTTTCAATGTTTGGACCACAGTAGTGACACTGCACACTGATCCAGAAATATGGGGCCCAGATGCCTACGAATTCAACCCAGATAGGTTTGCAAATGGGATCACAGGTGCTTGCAAGCTTCCCCACTTGTACATGCCATTTGGGGTTGGACCAAGAGTGTGTCTTGGGCAGAACTTGGCCATGGTTGAGCTCAAGGTTCTCCTAGCCCTCATAGTCTCCAACTTCTCCTTCTCGCTTTCTCCCAAGTACAAATATGGACCGGCTCT